ATTTTAATTGTGTTTTCTGTTCACTTCATTAAAAGTATTGTTGTTGATTGTTCTTATTTCGCTCTATTATTACGCGTTTCGCTCTGGAGATTTGAGCCCACACAACAACAATTAGGGATACACTGAATTAATTGTTTAAACATTTATGAAATAGAGGCTTTGTACAGGATGTGCTGTGATCCTCTACTTTTTTTATATCAAAGGTTCAAATGTGCAACTGAAGGCTTCTTGGGGATGCATCATGTTGGAACAGTGCACAGACTGTGATGTAACTTCAACATGCCTTGTCTTGTGTTTCACTTTGCGCTGACATCACTCTTTATTAAACTTTCCTTCACCTTTCTATGGTGCTTCCCCTGAGATATAAATTAATAAAATTAATTATTAAATTAATTTAATTATTTCTAAAACATGTATGGGGAACAGCTTTCTTGACGTCCACCCCTGTCAAATAAAAGGCCCCTTAAATCAGAAGTGCCCTGCCCATCACCTTTCCAAGTCCAGTCACATTCACAGCTGCCTGTGGTTAAAGCAGACTGGGCTGGTAACTTCACTGTTGGCAACCTTTACACCTAGCTAGATACAAAGAAAACATTCTCAATAAGTAATTGTGCAGCAGATACCAGGAGAATGGATGTGAATCAACAGGTTTGTAGTGTCAGGCAGGAGTAAGATGATAGCCTACTTTTTGCTGTTAGTGTAATAAATAATCACCTTCCTGTGACAGCTCTACTAATAACCACAAAGATATAGGTGACATAACCCCTGTTACTATATGGTTTTACTGTGCCTTTAACGGTTGGTTTGGGATGTGGGATTTCTGGGCATAGGCCTATCTGTTGTTGTTGCTGCTAATTTGTTGCTGAGAGTTGTGTAAGCAACACAAAAAAAACAAGATGGTTTAGTCTTGATGATGTTCACTTGGCCTGTAGTGAAGATTTGCACTAAATTTATATAAAGTGAAACCATTACACTTAAATTAACTAAGGGACTGTATGAAAGTTATGAAGGGGGCAGGATGGGTCACGAAATTGAGTTGTGTATTTTTTATTGTGGGGGGGGAAAGTACATTTTTCAGGAGAGCAAGCAAGGGTTTCTTAATTTTATTGTCAGAGAAATGTTACTTTATTTTTTACTTGTGAGGTGCACTGTAAAAAAATTTTAAGACTATATAAATATATATCAAAGATGTTTTTCTGTGCACCACCACCATGGGACATAAAAGTGTGATTGGCCATGTGCAAAAAACACTAGTGTGGTCTCTGTGTCAGGACGGCATCAAAATCAGGATGTAGAACCAATTTGTCCTACAGCAGATGTAGAACTGTAGCTTTTATTTTCCTCTTACATCTAATTAAATGTAGAACTACAGTAAACCATTATATACACGTATTATATAAATTACTTAAGTTGCCCGCACTTACCCAGCATTATCAAAATATTAATAACACTGAGCAAGACTTACTTCTTTAAAATAAACATTATGAGGAAAATGCAAGCCCAGTAATTTTCATGCAGTCCCTAATAATATAAATAAGTGAATTATTCAGTTCATTCAGATAATTCTAAGAACTCTCTTCTTGCTCATTTGATGTAATTGTTGCAGATTAATCTCTTTTCTTCTCTTGCATTAAATGTCAGGCCACACATTGAGCTCATTTTACAGGCCCACTAGTCCACAGTTTAACATGTAAGTCTTTTGGCTGAGCTGGGTCTGCCTCAAACATACAGCTCTGGAAATCAATCCCCCAGCTTTGCCTCTCTAACAGCACACAGGTTGCCATTATCCACAGTGAGTGATTTCCACAGGTAGATCTGCCACCCTGTGAAATGCACTGGTTGGGTTGTACAGCCTTAGGCGTCTGTGTGTCTCTTGCCAGAAAGCCAATCTCTCAGAGTCTCATTGCTGCTGTGTAGACAGTGTAGCCTTGCAACCCCCCCCCACACACACACTCACAAACACACTAGCCTATCATCTTGTTGTTGTTGTTGTATTAAAGAGCATAACAAAGACTTATTTGTTTGGGTCTGTGGTATCACTTTGGCTGCTCCGTCTGTCATCTCTTCCTGTGACAATTTCTTTGACAGAAAAGGCTTACGTGATCACCGTGTGTAAGGCAGGAACCCCACAATTTACAATAATAATAATAATAATAGGCAACTTATTTTTTGAGGAAATAAACATCTCTTCCTCTTTGGTTTCATCTTGACAACCAGCCAAATTTGACAGAGCAGAGCCTACCGATATCTGACTATTACTGGTTGTTTAGTCTATGACTAAATAATGAAAAGGGCCATCACTATTCCATGAACCCAAAATAAACCTATTCAAAATTCCAAAATATAAGATTCTGAATTTACCAAAAACTGCAAAACTAGCAAATCTTCACAATTGAGAAGCTGGCTTGGCATTTTCATTTCAAACTAGGAGGCAAAAAAAGATCAATTAGTCATCAAAATTGTTATCAATAATATATTAATCGTTTTATCTCTAGAGGTGGTACTGGTTTGTTTCTGGGGAAATAATGAAATTGCCAGTGGTGGTCAACACATCTTTTCTTGCACTTTTGCAGTGGGGTCATAGTAGGATAATCCAGCCATGGTCAATCATGGAGCTAATTTTAGCTATTTTGTATGCTATAAATTATCTTATGCCCACTACAACATCTGCAAAATATCTGCAGCTACAAGTGTTAAATACTTTTTTTAAAGTTACATGTAATACATTAGATGCATCGATAATATGATCACAAACTGATATAGGAAACTAAGAAAATATTTGTTGAGGTACATTTACACGAAGCAATAGTAACCCGGTTGTCATTCTAACATTTTGAAGCTCGTACTCGTTGACCCGGAAGTAGCTCAATACACGCGAGTGTGGTTGAATCGTAGTACTACAGAGGCAACCCGTGGAGACTAGCGGGATACGAGCTGAGGAAACTGTTTAGAAATCAGCAACCATGTAAGTATCTAATATGATCAGTAAGACTTTTTGGGAACGGTTATGGTTATTTTCCTCTTTCAGAACCCAAACCTAAATGGCAACAGCCAAGTTGCTACCATGCTAAACTAGTTAGCATTTTTGTGTCAGCAATGGCAGCGATCGTATTCGAGGCCGGGGATTAGCTGTAGCTGATAAGCTCTTTGTGTGTCCTGTTCGCTATTATGTAGTTCCAGAGCGAATATTTTACACGTAGTTTAACTGTGCAACTAAAATACAAAAAAATCTAATTTGTATTTTTAATCGGCTTTCTTACACATGTTTAAAAGTTGTAAGTCAGTAGTAATACAATGGCATTGATGTTAGCGAATTAGCCAAATGCTAGCCCCGGGTTGTCACTCGCATGTACTGTGTGTAATATATGAGTCTCAAACAGGGGCTAGCGAAATGCTAACGCCAAACCCTAGGTCTTTTAGCGTGTTTTTTCATGTTTGTGATTAGTTACGTTATTTTAGCCTGTAATGCATTTTACACCTAGCTTAACTGACTGTGCATTTAAAAGATATAAAACAAAATTTGTACTTTTAATCAGCTTTCTTGCACATGTTTAAAAGTTGCGAGTTAGTAGTAATACAATGTTAACGACTTAGCCAAATGCTAGCCCCAGATTGGCACTGGCATGTTCCTCCCTGATGAGCATTGTGATAAAAAATAATACATTTTTTTCTATAGGTGTACTGCACCAATTTACTGTTGTGGTGTGTACATAAGACATTAATTGTCTAAGTAGTTACATAACCAGTTTAGAAAAAAGAGAATAGAGACAATGAATGGCTAAAGGTGTAGGCTAAATCAGTAGTGTATTAACTAGAGCTGCAATGAACTGATGTTTAGATTAACACCAACATTTTAATTGGCATTATTTTGTGTCATTTTTCAGGAGTCTGTTAACAAAGCCTAAGTCAGAGATGACCCCCGAGGAGCTCCAGAAACGAGAGGAGGAGGAGTTCAACACCGGCCCTTTGTCTGTGCTCACCCAGTCTGTCAAGAACAACACACAGGTCCTCATCAACTGTCGCAACAACAAGAAGCTGCTTGGAAGAGTCAAGGCTTTTGACAGGTACCAGTCCAGGTTTGGTTGTATAATATCAGATAAACACTTGTTTTATCTTATAACTCTATAATTTTACCCCCTTTTCGATTTTGTTATTACATTGCAGTGAGTCAAAAAAAAATGCACCCACTATTTAAAATTAGATATTTTTAAAAAGTATAATATCACTTTTTGAAAAATTTAGATATGTTCTATTGAAAATGTGCTTTCTTATATGATGCAGACTGACACACTGTTCTCTGAAAATTGTTTTTTAATTATCAAAATGTGGAAATTTAATTATTTTATTTTAAAAGCTTATAAAATTGTACATGAATGAATCTATTAATTTTATCCCTTGAAAAATGGGTTATAAAAAAGCCGAGTGGGATCGAAATAAAGAACTCGCCCCAATGTCTTTGTTACTAACAAGTCAGCCATCTTTGTACCAAGGTTGTGTGATGACTTCAGCATTTATACTTGTATGTGGTTTTGTGTTACTTTTTAATGTTTTGCATCCTCACTGCCATTGTAGACACTGCAACATGGTCTTAGAGAATGTGAAGGAGATGTGGACGGAGGTTCCCAAGAGCGGGAAGGGAAAGAAGAAGTCTAAGCCTGTGAATAAGGACCGCTACATTTCTAAAATGTTCCTCAGAGGGGACTCTGTCATTGTTGTGCTGAGAAATCCTCTGATCACAGGAAAATGAACTCTTTAAAGGCTCACAGCGGAACCACTCTCGGCGCCTTTTTTTTTTTTTTTTTTTTTTGGGATTGTCAATGTAAAGTTGAGGCACCAGTATCGGCAGACAACACTTTATTACACTGTATTTTGGCACAACTGGTAACATTTTTTTGGGATCTACAGTAATCTTGTTTTCCATTTTAATAATAAAAGTGATTAATAGAGTCAGTCGTTGTGAACGTATTGTCTTGCTTTTAGACTTCAAGTTTATTCATGCTTTCATAATTACAATATAGACTTTGATCTCCAACTGATTTCATTTTAGTCATTTATCTTTTACATTTATCATTAGTATTTGGAGATTATACCTGTGCTATTCCATTGCTCTAACGGGTATCTATTTCTTATCTAGCTCATTCACTACACACTAAATTAGGGAGAGCCTCAGTAATAAGTTCTTTATTCTCCCTGTTTTTCTTGGGTGTTTTTGACCACCTCCTCCCACCGCCACCCCTCCACTCTCCCCTGACAGCAGCTAAGGTGTCGGGTTTGATTTCAGTCAGCAGCGTTCAATATGTGACAAACTGCCGTTTAAAGGCCCACTGCATTATTGATGAGACCAGATGTGCTGACTGTCACTTCACACCCTCAGCTTTCTCCATTTTCAGCTGTTCCTCTGTGCCGCTCAGCCCCTCCTGACCACTTTGTTAATTGTCTTAATAGCTTTAACAGCTAGTTTCAACTTACCCCTCTCTAACAATTGGCACTGAACCTCTGCTCTTTGGTGCTCTCAGAGTTAGTGGTCAAGTGGACAGAATTTTGATTAAGTAAAACGGTTGTCTTTGTATTTTACAATTGTTTGAGTGTTGAATAGTCATATAACGGTGTTCTTGCAACCAAAACATCTTATAATCGCTTACAAAATTTCTTTATCACTGTTAAGTAGCCCAAACTGTCCCTACTGGTAAAATGCTCCTGACATTTGATGCTGCATTTAGCACCTTACTACTTTTGCTGCCTAAGGCTATCACCTGTGGTAGCTCAGTGTGTGGGAATCAAATGGTGGCTGATTTATATCTCTCCAGTGAAGCTTGTTGGGGCAGAAGGACTCAGCCACCTGCAGTAATAATCTAAGCAGTCCATTTAAAATTTGGTGAACTTTCATGACCCCTCTGAAAAATCATATTGCAGCCTTTTGCACTGGCTGCCAAAGGCACAGAGAACCAGCAGCTGTTTAAGGCCCTGTGGCCACAAGAAACGCCATAAATTAATCATCTGCTCACTTCTTTTATACTGTAGTTTAAATCCTGACTTCAGGGTTCAAGGATTTTATTGTCAATTGACCATATGTGCAGGACATACAGAAAATCAAAATACCGTTTCTCTCTCACCTAGTATTGGGTGCCGTACCATTTAGGAACTAAAACAGAATAAAAATGGGATAGAATAGAATAAGAACTGGATTGATGTAATTAGGATAAATCTAAGAGGTCCAGCCAGTAAGCTGTGACTCAAAACCATGTACAGTCAGTGACAGTAGTGCAAAACAATAATAGGAGATTGTCAGATGGTTCAGCATCATCAGGGCGTTGGTGATGAGGTGCAAATAGCATATGAGGTATACATGGACAGTATTCCAGTATAAATGAACTTGTATTGTAGGTTTTCATTTTGCTTAGCATATGAGGTATACATGGACGGTATTCCAGTATAAATTAACTTGTATTGTATTTTCAGCAAAAGGAAACTATCATATAGACAGGTTTAAAAGGTAGCATAACTATTCCTAAGATTTATACATGGTCTAATGCTGAATTAGAAGAAACCCCATGGTAGAGCAGTATTCCTGTTGACCAACATATACCCCATTCAATTCCTAATTGCTTGTAGAACATATTAAGCAAAGTGAAAAGCTGCTTCGGGCCTGGTGACACTAGAGGACTCCAGGAATATACTGTATTCTGCCTATAGGCCTCAAAATGTCTTGGACTGGCCCTGAACATATTCTGCATGGATTTATGACTGTAACACTAAAAATACAAATTGACCTCAGTAGCTAATGTTTGACCTGACTGTGCATCAAAGTGTTAATGAGGATATTCAAAATTGTCCCCAGCGAAAGTGAAGAATAAATAATGCCTAATTTCACTTTAAATTACTTTAACTTAATCTGTAAAGAAACTGTAAATCTAAACACTAATATGGATTACATTTCAAATCAGTTAGCAGCATCCAGGGACAAAGTGCTATCAAATAGCTGGTGGGTGTATTTAGAGATGATGCCTGAGATAAAAACAACTTTGCGGACCTTATTTGTTGGGTATCATGCTTTTTCTTATGTTACTTTGTTCATCGCAAAGTCCCTTTCCCTCCAGATTTTGGAGGGGGGTCAGAGAGAGGTGAACGATCCATGAGCAGGAAGGCAGATGTTTTATTCAGAAGGTGAGCGATAAGAGGGGGGAAGTGTGATTATGATAGCAATCGGCCATGCATCAGTACTCAACCCTCCAAGTAAGGTGACACTCTGCAGCTCATCGATCGTGCCCAGTAACCGGACCTGCCGCCGCAGTTTGTTTTCAAGCAGAGCCATGGTTCCGGGTGTCAGAGCCGCTAGGCCATGCGGAGAAAGGAGGAGCAGGAGTGGGCAGAGCTGGTGGTGGAGATGGAGATGGAAGAGAGGGTATCAGTTCGGTGAACACAAAAACATTGCCTTCACTCATTTGTCTTTAAGTGTGAATGACAGCAACTGCAAGGACACAGACAGTGACAGGCAAAACAAGAGGGATCAGGTACATGTAGATGTACCCAGGCCTATTTACAAACAAGCACTGCTGTAGTGGGAAAGAGAATGTACAAGCTGTACTGATTTTAAACTAATATAAACATTCGATTTTCATCCAATGATTTTTATCTACAGATGTTAAAGACAACAGGTAACAATCCATTGACTGTTCATTGTGGATGGTGCAGCAGGGCCACAGCCAGAACTCATATCCATAGTGAGGTCATGAGTCCAGATTTCCTCATCAAGTTTTAATGAACTTAGGATCATTTATTTTTCCTGAGAGAGAAATGTGGCAGCATGATATTCTTTGTGCTGTCAGTTACAGATTAACCCAGATATCTTTGCTTATGTTTAAACATGCAGTGAATGCAGCTGAAAACTGATTTTTCGTGGCTCTTTTTAAGGGAGACTTGGCCAAGAGAAGCAGAAAAGAAAAGTTTCACACTTGTCACACAGCATTAGGAAAAACGGGCACATTTTAAGAATGTTTTCCAGATAAACAGACATCTGTATGTAATGTAGAGTAGTAATGTTCTGCTGCCATCTAGTGGATCAAAAAGCAATATACCCAGTTTTCCAGCAGAATCCATACTTTAGCTTTACTGGCAAGCCAAATTAATTTTAACATCCTTAAAACAAAATCACTTATTGAATATTTGAAGCATTGCATAATATAAAGATATTATATGATATACAAATGATTTTGGGGCTTTTTCCTTTGAAATTTTTTGATATTATAAAAATCTGTCATATGCAGATTTGACATATATAAGTAACACACTGCTCAGATATTAAAATTAAAACATAAGTTAAAGTTCTTAATTCAGAATGCCTTACTTGATTTTGCATCCTTCACATGAACAGCAGGTAGCAGTCTGCATACACTGTGAGTGTATCATAGAAGCAGTTTGCCCTATGAGAAGTTCAGGGTCTACATTTCAAGACAGTATTTTGACTTCTTCTCCGCTGCCCTTTACTGAACTGGCCTCCAGCCCAGACCTCTTGGTGAACAGTTGTGTCTCGCCCTGATGAGCAGATTTTACCCTCCTCTGTCACTGGACCATTAAAACACTTGAGTATAATGCATATTTTCCTTGTGCATTGTATTTCCATGATCAGGAAAAGTTAATACTGAATGAACCCTTGCAGTCTCAACATCAGGATCCAGATGACACTTTATGTCCAGATGCATAAATACATTTGTCTACATTCAACCAACAGTGGAGGCTGAGGCTTTCAGACGCTGCCTCGGAATGAAGTGTAATTCAGCCTGGTTGACCAGGCACATCCACTTAAACTGTGCTTCTTCAGATGCTCATTTTCCATTTTCAGTTTCTCCATCTGAAACACACACACACATCTCTAATCTATTTCAAACCTTTAGCAGTGCCTCTGAAGTGTCCAACAGGTCTTCTGTCAGGCCTGCTATTTGTATTGAGTGTCTGACGTCAAGTTGTGGAAATAAAGCTGTGGTAAAATTACTGTGTGACTGTTTCTAATTCTTTACTGGCTACTTTCTGGGAACAGGACCAACTTTTTGAGTCTGAGCAACACAAATTACACAAACACCCACACACATGTTTAAGTCCAAGCTGACACAGGATCTGGCGTTAGTATTTGCAAAACTGCACGCTCAGCGACAGAAAAGAAATTACGGTTTACTTGGTGGTCTTAGTCAGCAGAGTTAACAAGGGACACATGGCTAAAAAATATACCAGACCAACAGTTGTTCAGAGCAGTTGTATGTCTAACTGCTGCTGTGTGTAGTGAGACTAAAGGCACATTGGCTTTCTGGATGTTTACACATGCTGTGTAGATGTAATGCATTCCTTTCTCATCCTCTCTCACTTCTGTCCCCATTACGAAGACTAATGGGGGACAGAAGTACTTTTAGTGTGTATAATATCTCAAAGCTGAGCCATGTGAAGCATCAAATTTCTTTTTCCATTCACTGTTAGCAGAATTAGAAAATATTACTTTAAAGGGTTTCTACAGTTCAGTGCTATTTCTTGTGATTCTGTTGTCAAAGTATTGAAACAAAGCAGTTTTTTTATTTCAGAAACAATACTGATTAAATGCTACACAAGGTTTATTTACAGAATAACCACAAAAGCCACGATTGCTGGTATATAGGCTACTTTCCCGGCCGGCCAGTAGGGCGACATGCGGGGCTTGGCTAGGTGGCTTGGCTGAGATGCTGCTTTCAAGCGCCATTGGAAAAGTAATACACCACCAAATTAAACTTTGAACCAAGTTACTCTGAAAATGAATTGTGGTGGGAAGGTACACGTGGGACCCATATTATTTATCTAACAGTGGATTAAAAAAAAGGCCCTGAGGTTATGTTTTTGGGTGCCAGCAACTCATTATGGGGCAATGGATTTATATATCCAAACACAGCAGCTTCATATAATGATGAATAAGTTTTTATTTGTAACATAAAATTTATGCACAGTTGCCCCAAAATCTGCTTGTTTCTCTTAGGTATAGCTAAGCCACTGTGAACATATAAAATTAAACTCTGGTATACCGTGTTTAAGTTAAGGGTGAACAAACTAGACAGAGGAGGAACTGTTGTCCTAGAATTATTGAAAAAAACGCTCCCATATTTGATTTTTTACGAGGCGCCCGTTAACGCCCCTTGGGATTGTGGCCCACTTTGAAGCTGTCGGGTTGGGCCAGACTCCAATGAATTTACAGAGACCTACCGACCGAGGCAGTGGAGGAAAGTCTGGCGCAGGCGTACGGGTTTAATTTCCAGAAACAGAACAGTAAATCTACTGAAAGTGTGAGGAGAGAAGTTCTGGTTTTAGTGTAGCGCCGTTTCTCCTTGGCTTCACCTCTTTCGCTCGTAGAAACCAATGTGAGATAGTGATTTGAGTTGACAAGCCCGCTGCACTACTGTATCAACCCGCTCCCCCTCCTCCTCCTCCTCCTCTACCGCTCCAAACCAGGAAATCGTCGAGGTGTGCTCCTTTATCCCGCTGGTGGCTACCCCGTTCTAGGGTGTAGATGCGCCTTTTTCGCCGATTTGTCTCGTTTTTTTCCCACCAACTTAACTTTTAAAGCCGGGCTTCAGCTCTGAAGTCAGCCAAACTTGCCTACGAGGAGCGGATTTTCACTCTGGCCGAACAATGAGGTGGGTAAAGCGGCTCAAATCTCTTCATCTTCATTGTGTTTCGGGCACTAGTTTCACAAAGGCGGCTGTTAAATGCTGACTGACCCTGAAGCACCCTTTTGGACTGTGCCTTGTGGTTTACTGACTACAACAGGCGTCTCTAATTTACTAAATCGTATTTCTCACTCAGAATATCTTCGAGCTTCTGACTCTGTAGGTCTCGTTTGAACTACAGGGTCACACACGATACTGTGCGGCAGGTTTCTGTGACCTTTTGTAGTGAAAAACTAGATGGCTTGTGTTTCAGGTAGTATTGGTGTGTGCATGGTCGTAGTGAAAGCCCAGCCCTACCTGCCCAAGTGTGGCTACCTTTAAGGAAATACTTTACAAGTTGGTGTAGTTTAACAGGTCAGATGACAACAACATGCTTTTCTACCTGTTTCAAACACTCCTCACTCTTATTTGGCTCATTTGGTTACAGCAGTTTGCTAGGCTAAACTAAGTAGACTGTCTTGCAAAAATACTGGTGCTATTAAAACCCAGTAGGTGAACAAACAGGATGGATTCTTCTCTAGGCAGGGGGCTCCTGCAGCTCAGTCACCTTGCTGCTTCAAATGCATGTTCAGTTTGTATCATGCCATGCACTCCACAGCCACACATTAAACCTGCCCCTCACCTACTATTTTTCTCCCTCTGGGAGCAGAGAGGTTTTCACGGCCAACAAAACTGCTCTGTGGGAAAACTCATGTCCATGAATTCCACATCCTGTCACAGCCTGCACATTTGGCAATTACATGCTTTGAAGGCTCCTAGCTGGAGCTTCTCTGGGCTCTCTTTTTGCCTTCAAACCTTCACATTTTAGCAGGGTTCACTGGTGTCTAGGGCTGACTTTTGTCATTGGAAAGCTTGACAGATGCATGTTTTATCCTGGACCATGAGCTGCAGCAGAGTATGGTGGTGCAGGGCCGATAACCTGTGTGACTAGTTCTTTATCTCAGGTCTGTTGCACTGCCCTTTCTTCAACAATATACAGTATCTCAGCTCGGGCACAGGGGTTGGTCCAGGGTTTGCATTTATTGTACACATATTCCTGTGGACTAACTTTGATTACAGCAGGAACAGAAGGCACTTGAGCTGAATGAAATCCTGTCACAGTAACACATACTCAGCTTGTGAGCCTGTTAATTAGGTTAATGCAGTAATCTGTAAAAATTACCATGTCAACAAACGTTACACAGTACATAGTTTAAAATGAATTTATAAGTAAAATAAACTATATAAGTAGCAGAAGAAATTGTATGTAATTTTCTTTCTTTTTTTTATACACTTGTAAATATACCTGTGATGTAAGAGTTATTGTCTGGCAAACGCCACAACAGAAACACCGTCTTGCCACTGTGGTACATAATAAAACTATTATACCTCTCGCACAACAAGATGAGAGAACACTTCTATTGTCAGATTGCTCAGATGCACTTAAAACCACATCCACAACTATAAGCCAGTGTAGCAGTTAGCTTGGTTTTGGTGCAGTCTGTCTATTCCGGTTTCACCCTGCCCTTCGAGGTAGTGTCTTCTAACAGATGGAAGGTAACATCCGACTTAATGATTGTAATTCATAGTCTAAGTGGACATTGTTCCTTCTGCTCATCCTCAGTTGTGTCCTAAGCAATTCACATCACTTTTTATAATTGGTGAAGTCTGGAATGCAGCCCCATTCGTGTTCATTTTTTTTGTCCCTGTGGAATGTAAATGTTGACACAGAAATGCAGTCAGTTGGTCAAAGTTTGACCCAGTTGAGAACGTGGTTCAGTGATACATCCCGACTTTTAAGTTGCTTTTACATCTGTAGTCAGTAACGGCGTTCTGCTCTTTCTTTCGTACAGCTTTATCTCATCTGGCCATGCTCGGTCAGCTGCCTCAGAGCTCCTAAATGAAGATTAATGCTTTTGTGAAACTGAGCAAACAAGCATGCATGCATTTTTGTGTTCTTCTTTGGATATTGAAAGTTCAGAATTTCACCAGGCCTGCACAGTGTGAGGAAAGTCTGCTGTGTGGGATTACATTGTTCAGTGTTGCGATGACGATGCGACTTGCCATAAATAAACAAATATTGAACTGTGTGTTAGCTACACAGTTTGTGTGTCATTATGCAGTAGCAGGTACACTCAATGCTAATATAGCACACTGCTAACTTACATGACCTGGTGGAGTTTCCTCCAAACTAAAGGGTCTGCTCAGCATGTTTTACACAGTACCTTTTTTTGTAACATGGTGTCTCTCCTGAATCCAAAATAATTCCAAATAGCGGAAGTGCTGTTCTTTTTCATCACTAGGCCTTCATCAACCATTTTCCCTACTCTTCTCTTCTTCCTCGGAAACTGTCACCTCACTGTGTGAGAGACAGCCCTGGGTGCGTTTGCCATAAACAGTATGAGGCAGCTGTGCACTACACTTTAACGGAGATAGGCGAACAAAATGGATGCACATGTGCAAAACCAGCCACTTAGTCACCACCTTTGAAGTCTTTGCTCTTGTAAAAGTAGATCACGGTACTTGAAAACACTTCCAACACAGAACAGCTCTAAGCTTGATGTGGCTTTTCCTAGTGTGTTTTCAAAAATGCGTTGTCTTCTCCCCGTTCTGGTGCGCTAAGCAGCAGCTTGCTCAATACTGCCACCGGTTGGCAAATGGTCAAATGACGCTGAGAACCTGACCATTGGTGACAGTGTATGTTCACAAACTGAGTGTGAATATATGTTGTGTGTGTAAATAAAAAGATTTTTCTCGCTCATTGCGTTTTAGGAAGTCTGTGACAATGTGGCCCGCACAAAATTTCACCGATGAGGTTTACAAACGTTACTCTAACTTTTCTGTCCGTAGATTTGCCCACAGACTGGATATTAAAATAGATACCACGTAACCACTTCCTGCCACTATGCAAAAGTAGAGCCAAAATATCACCAGTATAGGGGCGGCCATCTTGCTCTTGAGACGGATTTTGCAACCAGATTCTGTGCCGTAGTGACCAGAGCAGGAGCCGTGGTATCAGACTGCTCATCAAAGTTGTCAAATCATCCGAAATACACCCATTTGTATATCATCAATAGCTATATCAGTATATAACAGTCAGGCCAGTATGATGGAGTGTGGTGATACGTTCACATTAGTCCAGTAAAAATTCCTTCTTATGTTTTAATGCACAGGGCTGCATTGGTCAGGAGTGAGGGGTTGCAAGGGGAGTGTTGTAGGCATGTATGTTGTGACAAGTCAATGTGAGTGGCGTCATTCACTTTTCCAGCCTGGGAGTTTCTGTTGTGTTTTGGTTAGCCATGCTGCTAACATACTCCGATCATCCCCTGTACGTGATTGGTCAAGCAGCACCTTTGCTGGATGATGCGCGGTTTTTAATGCACAGGGCTGCATTGGTCAGGAGTGAGGGGTTGCAAGGGGAGTGTTGTAGGCATGTATGTTGTGACAAGTCAATGTGAGTGGCGTCATTCACTTTTCCAGCCTGGGAGTTTCTGTTGTGTTTTGGTTAGCCATGCTGCTAACATACTCCGATCATCCCCTGTACGTGATTGGTCAAGCAGCACCTTTGCTGGATGATGCGCGGTGTGGGTGAAAATAGCATAGAAGGTCACACACAGCTTCAGTTAGAAGCTCATGAATAGTTCATGCTCAGTTATAAGGTCTGAAGAGACTTGTGTGAAATCATACAGGAGAGAAGCCAGTCAGATGAGTTCGTGACAGAACCTTTTATAGTGGTTGCATATTGTTGTCTTTTACTGCATATGATAGTTCATACGCAGAAGGTAGAACAGAAGTGACATTCATTACAAGATTAGTTAAATATCATCTCGTTCTCGTGAGCCCAATATGGTGTATTGTCTCGTCTCCTGAGCTATGGGTATCGTCACAGCCCTAGTCACTGTGAATGATGACATGCCTGTGTTTACATCGCCATATCAGCATTTCAGACTCTCTTATCGTTGGGTTCAGTGGCACAGGAAGTGCATCCATCTGCATTATGATTCACTGTTACTGTCACAGACGTGACTCCTGTCTGCCGCTATGACTTGCTGTCTGGGTCTCTGTGACTAACAGACCTGTCCCATGTGAGACTGGCAACATGTGACCTGGGCATGCACACAGACAGGTGTAACACTTCTGTTTAACACAGTTTGCAATCTAGCAGTTCCCAGTGCACAGTTTAGAAGCTCTGCATGCCTTGAAGCGATACTAATCTGGGCTCCTCCTCTGTTCTCCTTCCACTGTTGTACGAGCTTTTTATTGATCAGCTTTAAAAGCAGGGAAATGGCCTCCCCCTTCAGTCTCCTTTGTGTCTTGACCCCAGCTTTTTTCTACCTTAGCAGTAACTGGAGAAGAATGAATATCGAACAGTGATCTTTGCAGTTTCGCTGTCATATCCTGCTCCTCTAAATGTTTTTCTTCTTGACCTCATGTCTCAGCAGGCCAGTAGCTGTTATTTAAGATGTTTAGCAATATTATTGTGTATGTCCATGTAAAGATGACAAGATGCAACTCATCTGTGTTGCGAGAGTTATGTGTTCATACCTTAGTGTTGTGTAATAGTGTGTGGGGATGCTGAAATTTGTCATGTCGCCACTTGTTCTCAGAATTTCTTTGCACATTTTCTTTTGAAGTTTGATATCAGTGGCAGAAGCTAAACAAACATCTCACCTTTCTATGGCGTTACTCTCTAAGCTCTATTTTAAAACAACAGGAGCCATAAGGGTTTTACATGATGCAATTAGCAGACATACATTTTCTATTTATTGGGAAAACCGTTCTCAAATTGTCAATTATGGTTTTGGTTTCCAGCAATTCTATGTAAGCAAGATAATTAAGATAAAATATTTGTTGTGCTGTAGTCCGCTTTTCTCAGTAGGACTGATGTAACAGACATTTTACTGTTTCTATCACCTGTTGCACCTGTTTAATAAGTACAAATATTGCACTTCATTTTTAGTTTGTAAGGTTTGTATAAAAAAGAGACA